CGACACATAATTACTGAGTATTAAACGAAAACCCATCACTGATTGATTGGTTCTATATCACGATGACCAGCAACAAATTCTGTTTTAAATCAATACCTTGTATGTTTCTATGTCTTACTAATTATTACTTTATATTAATGAACTAGCCTTTAGTGATGACGTTGATATTGATAACAAATAGTTTTAGGCTTGAATTTGTTTCATGAATACCGGTCGATATATGCATCACCTGAACAGAATTTTACTATTTTTTTTCTACTCAGTCAGTCAGTTACAACGTGGAACTTCGTATGTAAGTACATCAGTTCATGTCGCCATACCACATCAGCACAGAGACGCAATTGTCAACTCAAATCCAATAGTGGGAGCGATACTAGAAAAATTACTGCTGATGCAGAAGATTAGGATTTGAAGATAATATTCAAGAAGTATAATTCAGTGAGATAAGTTCAGAAAGACAACGGTAGAGGTGTTGACGAATCCAGAAGATTAGGTTTTGAGAGAACACAAAGAATGGATACACCTGTGCCATTGCAAACGATTTTGAACCATATCATTTAAGGTCTCTAACCATTGGTGACTTTCATCTCGCGGACCCCAACCAGGTAGCCTACAACTACTGATAACATACTGTGAATACTAACAGAAACATTCGATCAAACATGAAAGATACTGACGAATGTGATCGATTAATGAAACACACACTATTTAAACTCAAAGGCATAATCAGTAGTACTTCTAAAACTGTTTTATTTTTTCACCATACCTAGTTCATTTAAAAAAATTTTAAAACTGGCATTCCTTGAAATTTACAAAAATATTCTGACTAGTTTTATTTTATTTTTTCTCCTTTTTCTTACCTTTTGACGTCAGAATGCTAAACAGATTATTTGAAATTTCATTTTCAGTGATATCATTTAGTAAATAGAAAAAATTATTCATAATTCATATATACTGAGATTAAGACGTCTAGCCAAAAGGAAAATGTTTTTTAATCGTATAATAATGAAGTGTTTATTTTACTTCCTCCTCAATGTGCTTATATCAACCTCCTTACGCAGCATAGCATCAGAACACCTTGTCAAGGTGTTCCACACTCATTCAACAGTTATAATACTCGCTTTTCAGTAAAATATATAATTATTTCTCCGAAGCATATTTACCCGTAAATTGTTAATAATTCTTAAAAACTTGAACAGAGAAATGAGAAGACATATTTTGCGAGATAGTACCGTTTCGTGCTTTCTCATCATTCACATACAAGCAACATGTTATTTGTGTAAATACAGTTTTGAAGATAAGGTCAAAATTTCTTATTTAGCATGACATTCACTCACTAGAACCATGGTAAACAAAGGTCAACATACAGTTGTTTTTGAACACATAAAGTTGGACTTTTCTGATCAATCAAGTAGTTTCGGTGTGTGTGGGTTTTGATGACATGTCACAACTTTAAAGGCTGATTTTGGGTCAATTTGATGACCACTCATCATTAGATGTTTTGCAATGGACGAGAAAGCACGAAATGGTACTATCTCACAAAATATGTCTTCTCGTTTCTCTGTTCAAATTTATCAAAGGGAACCACTGTTTTGAATTCTTAAAAACATTTTATGCTAATTACCGAAACGAAGAAACAATTTCTAGTATAGAATTTTTTTTAATTTATTGAACAGGGGTTCATTTGTACGATAAAAATATTGCATTAATGAGGACAACTTACCGCCTAGGATCTACGAACATAGGCTAACAGATTTGTAACTTCAACATTGGAAGACATCTATAAGAATTTTTTTTCAGAAATAATCATTTACATGGTGTTATTTTGCTTTGTTTAAATTAATGAGAAAAAAGTGCGTTATATTCTGAAGTTATATGAACCAGCTGACTTAAGGTATTGGCAGAAAATGCGAGTTAGTTAAAATAACTTTTCACAAGTCTTAAATTATATTAAATTAAACAAAATCATTTTATATCGACAAAATCATAATACAGTTGAAACCACGAGTTGATCACTGTTAGACTTGTGGATGCGTACTGCCACTGATGAGTCCCATACAAGGATGAAACGGCTGTCCAGTGTTTCCAGGTTTCTAATGGTGGTCAAACATTGATCGATTCATGGCTTCAAAAATGTGTAACTTAACAGTAATCCCAAACTCGTAATAAGAACCATGATAAATAGTCACCTAAATATCTCTTGAACACCTGTTTAACAAACATCAATTTCCGCATTGTATTTTCAGAAACAATTGCAGCCATGTCTGAATCAATTATATTAATGTCCATTCTTATTTCAATTGAATGTACTGCTTTTTCAAAGTTGACCATGTCTAGTTTCATTCATATTAAAGAAATAAATTAGTACATTTTATTAAGTGGTTACATGTGATGTTTATTTATTTGATTTTCATTGTAACAATTTATGAAATAGAAGAGTTGTAAGTCTCATCTCTAAGGCAGTGTATGCACTTGAGAGTTGTTTAAGTAATTATTTTTGTTTGTCAGCGAATTTTAAAGTTAAACATGTAGCCATTGATTAATTTTTATTGTATGACGGTCAATAATTTGGGAGCCAACTGTAACACTATAGTTTTTCTTTTTTTGAGTACAGTTAATTAAATTATATATGGTGTTCAGACTAAAATTTTCAGTAACGTTTAGAGAACTGAAAAAAATATCAAAATTGTTAACATATAATGTAACTTTTGATAGAGTCATGCAAAGCTCAAAAATAAAGATATGAAATATTAACGATTATAATTTATTTTATGATTCCAAACTTAATCAAATGATATGTAGTTATAATAAAATCATGAATCAGTGAATGTCGGACCACTATCAGAAACCTGAAAGTACTGAACAGCCATTTCGTCCAAAAATGAGACTCATCAGCAGTGTGCATCTCCTGCACGCAGAAATCGAATCCGGGACTTTTCAGCTCGCGTGCGCGAATGCTCAGTCACCGGTATGCTAGGGTCGAGGGTGTGCACTGCTGACGAGTCACATATTTGGACGAAACGACCACCCAATGTTTCTAGGATTCTGATGGTGTTCTAACATTGATCGATTCATGATTTCAATAAAACTCAAACATCTTCACAATTCTATAATGAAGAGATTTATGTGGTTAGAAATTTGAGTTATCAAAACTAATAAAAAAAAGAATATTTTTGTTTAACATTTTTTTTGGTAATTCCTGTTTATTTCTTACAGTCAAACAAACTTCACGAATAATACGAAAATAGCTACATAATTGAAATAACTGTCTTTCATGAAATAAACAAGATCTTTATTGAAAAAAAATGTGAAAATCTTGTCACATTGAATAAGCTAGAGTTATTTCACTGCTAATAGTTCAATGTTACAAATTTGTAGTCGGTATGCAAACGTTTATGTGAATATATCTGGCAGGGAGCTGTGCAATTGTTTAACGTGTATCGGATTGGATTGATCAATGAATCGGTATTACGTCATTGATGATAAAGGTTCCCGATCGATGATGTCATTGCTGGATATTTTCGTTGCTAGTAGCTTATGTATTAAGTTACTACAGATATGAATGTACAGTATTATTAAACAACATTATGAAATTTTCATTTATACGTAAAATTTCTAGCTAAAAATATTGTTTTAGCAATTACATAGGTAGAACTTAGCCAATTAGTTGACATTTGCCTGAGGAATGAAGCTCAACTAAATAACTTCGTCATAAAGACAACTGTTTTCACTGCATTCTTTTTATAATTTTTTTATTCAATAAATTAATGAGTTACTTTAAATCTTTTTCATGCTTCCTAATGTTTGAAACTAAAATGAAAGAACTCCTTTCATCTAGACTTGTAAGACAGACTAGCTAACTATTTCACTATTGCTTTTTTGATGAAACTACAATTAGCGAATCTATTTTCTTAAGTTTGATAATATTTTTTATCAACGGAAATTCTCAAAAATTAGTCTTTTAATGTCATCTATCTATAGTGACATTTAGAACAAAAGACCTAAAATCTGTTAGGCTGAAACAATCGAAAACTTGTTTGACAAAATAAATTCCAATATTTTTTAATTAGAGTTATGGAGATTAGTGTTTTTAGACATTTGAAATCATCATTCAATCATTGGTAAACCACCATTAGAAACCTGCAAGCACTGGACGGCTGTTTCGTCCTAGTATGGTACACATCAGCAGTGCGCATCCATGACTCCTGCACCTTTCAGGATTTGAACCCGGGACCTTCGGTATTGTGCACGAACGCCTAACCATTCTCGAAGTTCTAATGAAAAGACGTGACCAGTGGAATTCAACCCTGTCGAGTGTAGGCAATAATTACCAAAGATAAATGGGTGAGGTCGCGCAAAATCCCTAGATCAATAAGAGTTGGAAATTAACACCAACGGATGCCAATGGTTAGGCGTTCGCGCACAATACCGAAGGTCCCGGGTTCGAATCCTGCGAGGTGCAGCAGTCGTGGATGCGCACTGTTGATCAGTCCCTTACCAGGACGAAACAGCCGTCTAGTAATCCAAGTTTTCTAATGGTGGTCTAACGACGACTGATTGATGATTTCAGATGTGTAAATTCCAATATATTTTTAGCATTTTTAACCTCTAATAGTTTAATACAAAATTTACTATTCTAATCATTGTGAAAGATTTAATGAAACTTATTCAACAATAGATAACAACAGCAGTTGGATTTTAATATCTGAAACTCAAATTTTCATCACCTCTACTCTAACAAGATCAAGTTGTATATAAAACGTGAATGCGTAGTTATCTGTAAGGTATACTTGCTGTTATTTCATTGATAAAATGTCAATAAAAATATATATATTACTTTGTAGTTGTGATATAATACACCACTGAGAAGAGTTCATACTTTCTATCGTTTAAATTATAGAAATAATTTAAGGTAGAATACACTAGGTAATAGGACTAAACATTTATAAAAATATCCAGCTTGAATAAATAATTTTTATTAAAACGAATGTTCAACTTACCAATAGTAGTAATCACAGTGACAGCATATAATAAAGCTCCAGTCCATGCCCAAGGATCACGATATTCTTCAATGAAAACATTTGTATATGACTTTTTTGAATGATCATTAGTTTGAGTTAAATTATCACACTGACACATTGATTCATTAAAACAATTACACATAGTACTTTTTGACTGATTCACATTATCACTACTCACATTATTAACAGGATTGAAAATGTTCAATGTACAATTATTATATTTATAACATTGTGAATCAATAGTATGATATTTTCGATTAACTGGTAAATTATTTCTTGAATTCACCGGTTTCCAACCTGAATCACATGCATCATATGTGGCATGTATTAATTTTTGAATTACTTCACTTGTTTTAATCATGATTTGTTCAGTTTGATTTTTTAAATTCAATGTTAAATTTTCTTGAAATTCATTCAATCTCTCTGTATTCAGTTTTGTATCAAATGTAAATTCAGTTTGATCAATTGGTCTGATTGGTTTAGTTAATTGTTGATTGACTTTTTCAAATTCTGTTTTAAAATTTTCTGGATTTGTTGAAAAACCATAATATACTAAAATTTTAATCATATCATTTTTCCATTTTAATTCAGTTTCAACGAATTTTGCCACATGTTCATTACATACTACTAATGATTGTTGATGCAAATCAGCTAGTAAATATTGTACATTCATTTGACGTCGAATTAATTCACTTGTAAAATTACGTATCACAGCAGCTTGATGATTTTGTTCAATGGAACGAAATAGAAATGCTCCTAGTGAACAATAACCAACGACAACTAAGCATAGACCAATATGTGAGAATAAAAATGCTATAAATGATTTAACATAACGTTTAAATTTTCTACACTTTGAATTCGGATACTTGTGTTTACTGGAAATAGTGTCATCGTGTTTTGAAGAATTACAATTATTATCAGTATTAGGAGAAGTGGGATGAAATAGATGCATACGTCGACCTTTGATTGGACGTAATGGTGCACATACATCATTGGATTCATCTTGCTTATCAGATGAGCTGCTTAACTTTTCTATTATATTTCCAACTTGTAAACTATGATTTCTTTCAGGCATGACATTTATACTTGTTAAATTATTTTCTGGTGTTTTCAATTCACTAATTTCACTACGAAGTAGATTTAAAGTAGTTTCTAGAAAAGTGTTATTCTTATCATCTGATGGTTTTGAAATATTTTTATTGAACTCAATGGCATTGCCAGTCGCCACTGAGTTGTCTGCAGGCGTTTTATCGAATTTCAATAGATCAGATTTATTGACAACAATTTTCTCTTCTGTATCCATAACACGTTTAAATCGTGGAATGTTCGATTGAGGTACTTGAGTTGCAACAAAATGTACAGTGGCCATAGAGGTTGATAAAAAGAAAAACAACGAGATAATATGTTTTGATAAAAAAAAAAAACGCTTAAATAATATTTAATTTTGAAATGAGGTTAAAGAATGTTTATGTACAATTGTAAAAATATTTGGAAACTGAAATCGGTAGCTTTTATATATATATAATACAGAATAACCAATTATTTCTTTGATAGACACAAATATGATAATCATTCATTGTTGATTGGTTATTTGAAAATAAATATTGGGAATTTTCTATTAATAATCTAATAACTAAATAGACTGGAAATAACTTTTGTAAAGGTAATCTTTTGAATTTATAGTATATTAGTCTAAAGTCAGTTCAATTCGGTGTCAGTGTTTGACTAAGTTTATGAGCATAATATTGACCATTGAATGTCATTATCTTCATGATATTTTCTTCAAAAATATTATACTATCGACAGTATAGATTAGCTTTGTCTAATCCTTTGGCAAATATGTTGTATTATTCACTTCAAAAACAAATTCCGTTTCAGATGAAATTTTGTCAATAACTCTAATAAATGTGATCACCCGTTAAAGGCGAACAAATTAAAAAATTCTAAACTGAAATAATTGAAAATATATGCAAAATAAGTTGAAATATATATTTCATTAGAGAATAAGAACGCTTTGATCAGCTTTTTTTTTATCAAGATGTTCAACAGCAAATTATCAACTTTATTTTTGCAATGTGTGTTAATTCTTTATTTTAACGAATTTTATAAAGTTAATGGACTCTTTGTCGGCTTCCAATCAATAGACAATAGACAGATTTTAAATGTAATAAAAGTTAGCTGCGACTATAAGATAGTTATTTTTGTTGATTAGACGTAATTGAGTAAGTAAATTACCTACCATAAACTCTTAAACGAAGAGGAGAAATTATATTTTCAATAAATATGAGTTACGAAGATGAAATAAATGGTTATGTAATCAATAAATGCGTTCTGCACTATTGAAATTTAGGAAGTTATAGGATATCTAGACAGTTATCGACCTTAGTCAACGGATGGAAGGTTGTACAAGATCATGGATCGGTTCAAATAAGACACTGACAGCGTTTGATGAGGGTTAGCGGTCAAGAAGCGAATATTTCGTACATGAGACCAGAGGTAGTGGGGACGCACTTCTGACAAGTTACATACTGGGATGTAACACCCGTTCAATGCTTCCAAGTTTTCACTGGTGGTGTAGACAAGATCTACTTTGTGATTTCAACGGTAAAAATGTTACTGATGTAAACTATCATAACAGTTTCATTCAGAAGATACTAAATATGTTTTTTTAAGACTCATACGTAGCTTGTAATTTCTCTCATTTAAGTGATTTGGAGAGAAATCTTCTATGCACACATCACTCCTGAATAACAGTTCTTTAATAGTAGCATGGAGGACTCTTTCGAGGTGAGGACCGGTGTCAGGCAAGGTTGCTTACCCTCACCATTTCTGTTTTTCCTGCTGATCGACTGTATTATGAAGACGTTAACATCTGGGGAAAGCACGTGATACATTGGACAACCAGAGGTAGCTGGACGATCTGGACTTCACAGATGATCTGGCTCTTCTATCACACTCATAACAACAAATGTAAGAGAAGACGACCAGTGTAACAGCAAGACTCAACATACACAAGGCAAAAAATTAAGATTATCTGAAACAACACAAAGTGAGCCAACGAAATCATACTTCACTGAGGTGCCTCGGAGGAGATAAAAATCTTAACATATCTGGGTAGCATCATTGATGCGCAAGGTCTATCTGATGCGGATGTGAAGATGCGGATCCGCAAAGCAAGAACTGTATTTCTATAGTCGAATAGTATCTAGAACTCAAAACAGCTGTCAACCAACACCAAAGTCAGAATTTTCAATACAAATGTCAAAACAGTTCTACTGTATGGAGTAGAAACTTCGAAAACTACCAAAGCCATCATCCAGAAGATACAAGTACTCATTAACAGTTGCCTACACAAAATACTTTATATATATATATATATATATATATATATATATATATACATGTTATCTTGAAAATGAATATTTCAACTGAATATCAACTAGAGGTAAAGCGTTTTTTTCAAATGCTTCGGATCCGTTGACTAGGTAATATCAGCAAAAACCTACTGTGGGAGAGAAAAAACCAGATTCCAGTGGAGGAAGAAATCAGGAGGAAGCGCTGGAAGTGGATAGGAAACTCAATACGGAAACCACCCAACTGCATCAAAAGACAAGCCCTCACCGTCAAAGGAAAAGAGGTAGGCGAAGGAACATATTACGCAGAGTAATGGAGACAAATATGAGAAAAATGAACAAAAATTCGACAGAACTGGAAAGAGAAGCCCAGGACAGAGTAGGTTAGAGAATGATGGTCAGCGACTTATACTCCATTGGGAGGAGGGGGAACTTGAGTAAGTAACTAAGTAAGTAATGAGAGCTTAAATATTATGCTTAAACTTACGGCTAATTCGCTGACTACTAGTACACTGTATAACTGTCTTTTTATTTTGGCTTTTAAAATGTGATGAATGAATACTTTCTCAAGATAACTTCCCCCTAGTAATCTTTAGTAGGTAGTTAAGAGTAAAAGCAAAAATATACTCGCGCCATGGCTTACACTTAGTTCCAGTCATTTTAAGTTTGGAGTGCTACAGGAAATTAATGCAAATACCAATCAAACTGTTCAACAGTGGAGATACTCGTTAATAAATATTGGGGATTTTATTTACTCATCATTGATATTCTTGACGAGATTATATTAGTCTCTATTTTCCTCAAAATGTACTATTTTAAAATAAGATTTTATTGAATTCCTAATTGGTCAAATATGATTTACTAAGTTTAGTTCACTGTTTCTGTATCTTTAGATTGATCGATAAGTTTGTTTATTGCTTTAGTTAACCTGAAGTGAAGTGACTGACAAGGACAAAAGAAGACTGTGAAAATATTACACTGAGAATAACTGATTTTGTTGACTGGCATTATTCAGTTACTTAATGATATGAAAATGTGATGAATCATGGAGACAAACATTAGTTATCATTTAGCATAAACGCTAGTATACGTAGCTGACAAAGTATACGGTATATTTCCAGCTTATGCAACAAGTCAATCATTAAATTGTGACAGCCTTGTAAGCCATTTTCCCTAAGTTTATCGTACGTTTCTAAGTATCTTAAGTTAGTTCATCCTTGGTTCTATTAGATATGAATTTCTGCTTATTACAAACGTTGAGTAATTTATAATTTGAATCGTATGGAGAATGAATATACATCACTTTCGAACTTTTAATCTGAAATAAATAGAGTCTCGTCAGAGTTTCGAGTTGTTACCTTTAAAGTTGCCAAAATGTCTAAATTCAAACTAAGGAAATGTTGAAAACGTTAGACCCCCAGAACTCACTTCGGGAAGGTCCTAATTTTGTGATTTTAGTTTGTAATTTTGAATTTTATGTTTTCACGCCAAAGACGCACCTTTTGACCTTCAGCCTACATTTCCCACTCTGGAAGTCCTTGACTGACATTGGTTGATGGATTATTTTAGTACGCTATTCTGTGGCTCTCACCAAGTACCTTTTATCATTGTATAAATAAGCTTGAGTTTTGTGCTTGTAAACCCCGTATTTTGTGCGTGCCTGTGAATACATTCTCTCTGTCTTACCGAAACTTATTCCTTTAGTTAGCGAGGCCTGGGACAATCAGTTTAAAATAGCCTACTATGTCACTGCATCGTTGATCTATGTTCCGTTTACCGAGTAAGGTAAACTCGTACGAGTTTCGGGCATATCAGGAAGAGAAGATCGGTTTAATTAAAGGATAAAGAAATATCTCAAATCGTCAAGAACATATTGGGCAAGAGATATCTTGAAGTGGGACAGCTGTTTGATGACACCTTTAAGTTTCATAGTAGATTAATCACAGTATTAATGCTAATAAGTTGTCTGAAGTATACTTTACTGTATAAAATTCATTGGGCTCTCCTGGTTTTTTTTCCTCAGAAAACAATATCTTACTAGTAATTGCAATCAGTTATTCCGATTATGTAGCAAAATGACTCTGTACTAGCATACTACTTTGAATTGCAGTCATTTATGTTGTTATCTTGTAATAAAGCCATTTTCGATCGAATGAAAATAGAAAAAAAAACATTTTACTAATATAAACCATTTATATTCATGTTAACTTTTAACCAAACATCCTATCTATCCACTCTTAACATTCAAAATAAATTTTTCATTTAAATTTAAGGTCATTCGTTATCTTTGTAAACAAATCATATTGAACATTTTCAACACTTCACTTGAGAATTTTATCAACAAGTAGGGTACTATGACATAATGACATTTACTAGTCTGATTCACTACTTTTCTTTAGTTGAAACATTTTGGTTGAATGATAAATTACAAAATCAATTTCTCTTCTAAATTTACATTCAGGGTAATTATATCTGAATATTTCTAATTTCTTTTCGTAAACACTTCGATAAATAATCAATCATTATTACTTAAATCATTTGGAAATTATGCAAATTTTGACAGTTGAACCCAAATCAGTGACTTTTATACTGTTATTGCTTGATTTAAATTATTGGTCACGAAACCTTTTACGAGTGGTTAATTTTTGTATCGGGATGAAGCTGATACAGTATTATGGATTCAGTGAAGGCAGAAGTAGTTTAATACAAATATGGAGTATAATAACATGTAACATGAAGGCCTGAAGTATCATAATGATCGATATATATACTCAAACACACAAAATATAGGTATAAAAAACTGAATATCACTGAAACTACTATTAATATTTCCTATATCTTTCTATTAAAGGCCTAAAAAATCACATCATGTGAAATCTTTCGCTCCAAATCAAACCATAGTTCGATAACTGTTGGGGACGTTAGATCCTCAGAACTCGCTTCATAAATGCCTTGATTTCGGATCATATGTTTCCGAGCATGGGCCGATCAGTTGACCTTGAGAATTTCATTCCCC